ATTAGGTCCTCATTTTCCCCCTCCCTCCCGGAAGTATGCTTTTTAAAACTACCGTATTTTCAAATTTCATTCTATAATGAAATAATATGTCCCTGTATGAAGCAAAAGGATGCCTCTCTTCAAGAAAAAGAGCTATACAAATAACTATGTACAGAAGGAAGAAATGTTCTAGGACTGATTATAGTGATGATTGTACAACTCTTTATATGACTGAACTATTAAAGTGCATGATAGGTGAATTATATATCAATAAAACTATTGAAAAAAAGAATTACAGCTATAGGGAGCATTTTCTTAAAACAGGTGGTTGGTTACCACATGTACAGATACTAGTTAATTATTGAAATGGGTCTAATATAAAGTTGGTGTTAGAATGCTTGGCCAAGTGTGTGCCCCTTCTTGAGCATGGATTCGTCTGATGTCGGGTGTTTTGTTTTGTTCAGTCAGGTCAGTTCAGTGAAGATATGATACCCACAGTGGGCTTCAACATGAGGAAAGTCACTAAAGGCAACGTCACAATAAAGGTACGTTTACTTCTTCGTTTTAAGTTGATTAGCATGTACAGCTAAGATTTTTCTCTTCCCTTTCTTACTTGCGTACTTGCAGTTCTTAGCTAATGAATGGGTGCTTTCCAAAAGAGTGTTCACTGATGGATCAAAACGTGTAAGTGTTGAAATGTTGTATGTGGTCCTTGAAAACCTGGGAAAAGGTGGGTTAACAGTAATTTTTAAAATTTAGATGTGCCTCAGAAGTAAAAATCCCAACTTCAGTATGTTTAGAGTGTGCTATGATATTATTTCATGAGTGATATATTGTAGTAAAAGGTAATTTCTTGTTTATAATGTTAATAATTTAATATGTATTAGATTTATGGCAGCAAATAACCACAATGCAGTTTCCTTTTCTTTTCAGTACTTAACCTAAAACTAACATGCTGGAATCGGAAAGCATTAACTAATTTTTAAAACATAGTTTTCTTTTTAGAATGAACTTGACAGATTTTAAGTATTGACTGTTTATTAGGGGTGGTTTTTGGCAGGGGGCGGTTGTTCAATAGGTACTGGGACTTTATTACTTTATCCTTAGTTCTTCTATTGCTATTTTGCCCAGTTCTCTTCAGGAGCTATTCGCTAAACACTTTATGTGGCTGGTACAGTGAAGCTCCTGATTTAGTCATGTAAAGGTCTTTATGCATGTTAGTTGTGTCTACAGCTGAACCGGAAGCCTCTTAATAGATAGATACTGGGACTTAAAGACTTCTTATGTAGCCCGGTACCCAGCATGGTGCCTTGCTTAGCAAGCATAAGAGTAGAGTACTGTGGGTAACAGTTTCCACATGGATAAAAAACTGTCATACAAGGAACACAGAACGGGAATGTTGGTTGACTACACAGAAAGATGGGGAGATAAATGCTTGCCCAATCAAACATTAATTCATTCTGAGTCCACTATTGTTTCCTGTGTAGGCATTCAAATCTGGATGATTCGTGTTTCTGTAGATTTTAAGCGTTATAAAGGTAAATATTTTCTCTATTAGGAATGCATTGGTTAACAGGCAAAGAAAAGTATTGTGCAAAAGCCAAATCTCTGCCCAAGCAGAATTTTAGTTCTAGTGTAAACACATTCTATGTGGACTTCGTCTTGAACGTGGGTTTAAGAACTGTTGGCAGCTCGTCTTTCAGGAGCTCTTTGGCTCTCCCGTGGTGGAAAGGGGCCCATCTGCCTCATTCTTTCTTTTTCTTCCTATTATTCTCCTCTCATTGTATTGTTTCAAATATTCTTTACTAAGAATTATCCTGTCTTGGTTTAAAGATCTGGGACATAGGTGGGCAACCTCGATTCAGGAGCATGTGGGAGCGGTACTGCAGAGGAGTCAACGCAATTGTGTGAGTACCTTTCTAAAGTCAATATAAGCTTCCAAGAAAAGGGAGCTTTCATCTTACCAAGGCTCAGGTTTTCTCCCTGGCTATAAAAATCTTCCTTAGGTACTTTTTTAGTGTAATCTTATAACGAGATTAAAATTTTTTATCGGAGAATGAGTTTTATTTGTCTTTGCTTTATAGTTAAGATTTGAGGGATGTAAATGTTTTACTGTTTATTGCATAGACAAGAACAGTCTAATGGAAAGTATGAATGCGGAGCTTTTATCTAAGGCTTAATTTATTTATTTTGCTGAATTCAGTGATGTAAATTGTAAGAAAAATTAAAAGTCCATAATAGTTGTTATTATCAAGACATATTTAGAGTACTCTTTTTTTTAAGTTACATGATAGATGCTGCAGATCGTGAAAAAATAGAACCCTCTCGAAATGAACTACACAATCTTCTAGATAAACCACAATTACAGGGAATTCCAGTAAGTATGCAAAGTATGTTTATTTTTAACATATACAAATACACAGTTGTTATGTTTGAAATTAGTAGAATGTCTTCTGTATACAATTTAGAAAGTTTCCATTTATTGAGTATTTTTCAAGATACCAGGCATTGTGCTTTCTATTAATCTCTTCAACAAGTATTCAACTCAATCATGGAGGTCCAATCCTGGATGGAAATGGATACAAACATATTCCCCATCATCGTAGCATCTTTAACTTAACCAGAAAGCAGGTACTGTGGCAGCACGAATAATCTAGTTCTGCTACCTGTTACCCAGAAGAGTCAGGAGGCTGTGTGAGAGCTGTGAGAGCGAAGATTTGATCTAGAATGGAGAGGAAGGAAGGATTCTAATAGGAAGTGATATTTGAGCTGAGATCTAAAGGATGTGTAGGAATTAATGGTGGTTGGAAGAGAGTTTAGGCAACGGCCTTGTGTTGCAGAGGGGAGCAAGACCCGAGAGGCAGGCTTCATTGAAGCAGAGTCTTGGTGATGGGGAGTGTAGTGTGCCAGGCTAGGCAGCTGGGCCATTCATTGGAAGAGGCCACATGCTGCGCAGGACTCTGGGAAATTCTTGAAGTGTCTTAAGCCATTAGATTGTGATCTGACGACATCACTCTCATTATTACCATTGAAGAATGGATTGAAGTGGTTACATGGAGGACCATTTAGGAAGCTGTTACAATAGTCCTGGAAAATTATAGAGCCTTGGAATAGGGTGATGGTGGACCAAACGAGGAGAAAGAAACCAATTATGAAGATGTTAGGAGCACAAGAGCCAGACTTGGCCATAAATTTAAGAAGGTGGAGTGTAAAGAATAAGTTGTAGTTTCTCTCTTACGTACTTTATGAAGGTTGATGTTACTTGGTGAGCTGAGAAGGCTGGAAAAAAAAATCCTTGAATCCTGGGTGCAACTTGAAGTTGGTGGTGTAATCTCCTCTTACTAATAGTTCTTATTTGATTAAGATCATATGGTCATTAGTAGTTGCCCAACCAGCATTTTAACATGTCTGTCTGACCTCCAAGCTCCATTTTTTTTCCTCTTTCCCCTTTTATAAACTTGCACTATATATATCACAAATGAAAAATCAGTCTTGTTAATTAGCTTCTTGTAAGAAGCTAATTGAAGCAGAATGTTCAGTGAATGAAACATTCATTGAAAGACGGTTTACCTGGTAGCTTGCAGAATCGCTAGGAAGGCTGCACAGCCATGCTGAGAAGAGAGGCCAGAACTAGGGAGGCTAAGCCTCTGTCAGGATCACACCCAGGATTGGTGGCTATATCTGATTGATAGGTTCTAGATTTTGTGTCTGTGCTCTACCAGGAAGAGGGCTGGGAAAGAAAGAACCTACAGAAGCAAGTAACTTAGGAGGCAGTTATATAAATTTCAGATTTTACAAATAGAGGACATGGGTTAAGGTGCCAGGCAATCATGAAATTGACAGCTGATCACAAAGAGATTTAGCCAGTTAGTTACAGCTTGAGGCCTGGGACAACTGAAACAAGGGTGACAGGGTGTGAGTCAGTGAATGAAAAACAAACTGACCACGAGCACTGAGATTCTGCCTGCTTTTGGCCCTTATCTTGTTTAACCCCCACACCCACCTGCTTCCCTGGCAATCTGTGCCTTTGTCTCTTGTGCAAATTTAAGTGTCTAGGCCTATGTGTGAAATGGGATTGTATATCTGGTGGGGAGGAGGGTGGGTATTAAGTGAAAGAAATAGGTGGGATGGGGTGAACATGATGTGTGCTTGGAAGAGGCTGAAGCTAAAAATTCTTGGAAAGCACTGACTTAAGAGTATGGCTGTGATCCATTCAGCTACATGTATTCATGTTCTTTGTTTCCTGTGTCTGTGGCTGTAAGGACATGATATCTTGGAAAGGTAGGAAGGGTGGTCATTTGGGAAGGCCACCGGAGCTCTCTTTTTCAGAGTATGTCTAACACTTAATGATAGCACTTACTCAGTCCATGTCTACAGGAGGCATCCTGGAGCCCGAACTCCACCTTCGTCTTAGGATATTTATCAATGATATTTTGTAGAATATAACCTGGATTTTTAAATGTATTTATGTAATGGTGACTTTGTCAGGTAAGTGTTAGACTGTTAACCACAAGGTCAGCAGTTCAAACTCAGCAGCTCCTCTGTGGAAGAAGGATAAAGCTCCTATAAAGATTTACAGTCTCTGTAATAAGAATGGGAACTGTCTTACTGGCAGTGGGTTGGGTTTGGGTTGTGACTTGTAGTTCATAAAAATGTTTCCCTACTCCTCTTGGTTCTTAAGATTGTTTTCATATTTGGGCAAATGTTTATTAATATCAGAAGACATAGCATAGACTTCCAAAAACTCTCCCTGCTATAGCGTAGACTTCCAAAAACTTTCCCTGCCATCAAATTAATAGTGACTATTAAGGTCAGAGTAGAACTGCCCCTGTAGGTTTCCAAGACTATAACTCTTCCTGGGAATAGAAAGCGTCATCTTTCTCCTGTAGAGCGGCTGGTGATTTAGAACTGCTAACCTTGTGATTAGCAGCCCAGTGCATGACCACTGCATTACCAGGCCGTAAAGCAATTTAAATAGAAGTTGGCAGTTGCAAACTCAACCCCATTCCCCAGCCCCCAATCATGGTTGTCAGAATAATTTAAATTGCTCTAATTAGTATTTATTTCTCTTACTCAGGAGCCCTACTGGTGTAGCGGTTACACCTTGGGCTACAATCCAGAAAGTGAGCAATTCTAAACCACCAGTTACTCTGAGGGAGAATGAAGGGCTTTCTATTCCCATATGAGTCAGCATTGACTCAATAGCAGTGAGTTATTTAGAGTTTTAACTCTTAAACTATGCATAGCAAGTATGGTTAGATACATACTAATTAGAATGATTAAATTATCTCACAATCCACCAGACATACAAATCTCCTTTTAAAATCTTTGTCACGTGGTGACATCTGCTGTTTTAGCAGCAACTGATCAAAGCCAAAAAAAACACGATAGCTCACAGTGACCCTGTAGAACAGGTAGAGCTGCTCCTGTGAGTTTCTGAGACTTGTAAGTCTTTACAGGAGGTACCAAGAGGATGTTAATTGTTATAACTAGTTCTTTACCTAAAATTTTACTCAATGTTTTGTTTTTTTGTTTTTAAGGTGCTAGTACTTGGAAACAAGAGAGATCTTCCTAATGCCTTGGATGAGAAACAGCTAATTGAAAAAATGTATGTCTTAAGAATGAATAAAGGCAATTTTAGAAATGGGTTCTAAACAACACTATTTTGTTCATAATTTTGAGTGCTTAACAACATTGCATTTTTTAAAGTAATAATGGTGGGTAGGCTTTTAGTTGGATAAAATTAGTCTATTAGACAAGTGAATCACTAGGATTTTATAGATCAAACTAATTTCCTGTTTATTAGTAAAAATGACTTCAGTAAAATTGAGCGGAGTGATAAGTATGATAGCAATTTTAAGTACAGGCTTATTCTTTAAATCTGCTTCTTATAAATCTACTCCTTACAGGAATCTGTCTGCAATTCAGGATAGAGAAATTTGCTGCTATTCAATTTCTTGCAAAGAAAAGGATAATATAGGTGAGTAATGACTGGTGTTTTGAGAAAAAATGAATATCATTGGAAGAGATTTCTAATGTCTTAAAAAATATTTTGTATTCAATGAAAGCTTAAGTAGCAAATTAAGTTCCTTTATCAATTTT